GCGGCATAGGTAAACATCGGAGATTGCTGCCGCAAACAACCACTTCAAAAATACAACTAAAAGACGGAACGGACATCACCCAGAACCACAGGAAAGCTGGCTGCGGAGAGACTCTTCAACTAGAAGGAAAGACAACAGCATAGGTGGTGAAGGCCTAGGGCGGGGGACCAGAGGGCAGGCTTATAAGGGGTCAATGGGAGAAAAAAGGGGTCATATGTAATATTTTCAGCAATAAAGATTTTAAAAAACATGAACATTAAAAAAATAAATAAATAAAAGGAAAGCTGCATAAGCAATGATTTCGGATATTTGGCTTACCATAATTTTTTTTTTGGGGGTGGGGGGAATAAATTTTGAGGAAATATTTAACTTGGGCTATTAACATTATTGCACATTTCCTGAACATGGTAGCTAAAGATAAAGAGAAAAGTCTAGTAACCTGTAACTGAAAGAAGTTAATCTAGAGCAGCAATTTTCAACCAGTGTGCCATAAGAATATTTAAAACATGTAATACCTGACTATTTAGTCAGGGGCACTGACTTTTTTACTAGTAACTTAAGATTGTTAAATTAGAAGATGGCGGCATAGGTAAACATCGGAGATTGCTGCCGCAAACAACCACTTCAAAAATACAACTAAAAGACGGAACGGATGGTTAGAGCATCGTCCCGATAAGCCAAGGTTTCAGGTTTGATCCCCGGTCAGGGCACATACAAATATCAATCAATGAATGCACAGATGGGTAGAACAACAAATCAACGTTTCTTTTTCTCTCTCTAAGAAACAATCAATCAATCAATGCATCAATAAAAAAGGAAAAACACTATATAGTTGACACTTTAGCAACACATGTTGGAACTGCATGGGTATACTTATATGTGGGATTTTTCCCCAATAAATACATACACTACTGTAAATGTATTTCTCTTCCTAATGATTTTAATATTATTTTCTTTATTGTAAGAATATATACATACATATAAAATACAAAATATGTGTTAATAGACAGCTTATGGGCAACAGTAGGTTAAGTTTTGGGAGAGTCAAAGTCATATTCAGAGTTTTGACTGACCATGAGGGCAGGGGATTGTGGCCTCTAAATCCTGAGTTGTTCAAGGGTCAACTGTGATTCAATTAGGTAGGCAATTTAGACATTTTGGCTTGTTTTCTTGCAGTCTATTAAGAGCAATTTAGTCTAAAGACAAAATTTTAAAGTTTTTAAGCTCCATAAAAAATAATAACCTATAGTTTTTCACTATACTCTATTTAAAATGAAGCATGGTACAAGTGAAATAGCATGAGCTACTAAATCATCAAACACAAGCTAAAATTAAGATTTTGTCACTTACTAGTCAACTGATTTTAAAAATCTCATTTAGCTTCAGTATTTCCCTTGTAAAATCTGGATAATGTCAGCTGCTTCATGTTTTTACTGCCAGGATTAAAACGTACAAAAGCAGCATACATTGAGCTTAATGAAAAGACGTATTAGCTGCTTTCTATTATTACTCATAACTTTTCATGTAGAAGCTAATTTCTAAAAATGAAAGGTGGAAAAGTAGCAAAATTAAGATTAAAAAAGGAAAGAGATTAAACAAAGGTTATTTATATATAAGGCTAGAAAATCTGCACAAAAACATACTTCAAAAAACTGAGGCTGAAGAGACTTCAGCATTTCTGAAATATCATAAAGCACTTTACTGGTATATTATTTCTGATAATAAACAAGCTATTTTTAAAAAGTCTTAATATTTAAAAATTTTTAAAAATATTATGGATGTATATAAGTTTCATAGTTTTTGCAAGCTAACTTAGTAATAGATTTTAACAGAAATAGAAGGCAAACTGCTTTTAAGTTATTATAGATTACTAGAGGCCTGGTGCATGAATTCGTGCACGGGTGGGGTCTGGCCGGCTGATCGGGCTGGGATGGCCAGGGGGAGAAGTGGGAGGTTGGCCGGGCTGCCCCACCTCTGATTGGGGTGGGAGGGGCGATCGGGGGCAGGGCTAGCTGAGGGGAGGGGCCACAGGCCCCCTGGTCGAACTCCTGGTAGAAGGGACAATTTGCATATTAGCCTTTTATTATATAAGGATCCTTTTCATTGCTTTATAATAATTACATATGCTTATATTTACGCTTGGGAACAAGTTTTATGTACAACCTAGTGAAAGGTGTCTCTAGACTTAAATAAAATTGCTTTAATGTCTTGGTATGTGTCACTAAATTCTAAGTTTTATGGCAATAGTTATGATTTGGAGAGCAGTGTAGTAAGACTACCTTGGATCAGAAGGTAAAAGACCTGGTTTCTATTTGTAGCTCTGACATCTGGTAGGACTGTGATCTTGAACAAATTATAAACTTTCTGAGTCTCAGTTTTTTTCATCACTAAAACAGGGATTATATCTGTCTTGCTGTCATAAGGATCCAGTGTCAATATAACAACACAAGACTCAAATACTGGCTGTTTTTAGACAGCAGAGCTAAGTAGCTAGGAGCAGGACTTCTACTGTATTCTCTTTTATATCCTAGAAGGTTTGCACACGTGCAAGTATTATTTACCCCAAAAATAAATTTAAAAGGCTGGTGAGCCTGGCTGGTCTGGCTCGGTGGTTGAGTGTCGAGCTATGACTGATCAGGGCACATGCCCAGGTTTCCAGTTCAATTCCCAGTGGGGGGCATGCAGGAGGCAGCCCATGGATCAATGATTCTTTCTTATCATTGATGTTTCTCTCCCTCCTCTCTCTGAAATCAATAAAAAACATATTAAAAAATAAATAAAAAAGACTGGTGAGTTTTAGGATACATTCAGATATATAAAAATTTCTAAACTCCCTTCAATGTTTTTTCAATTATCGTTACACTCTCTTTCACAGGATCAATGATTTTTATATAAAGTACATATTTTGTTGAAAAGGTATATTTAAAACCCCTTCCATAAGGCAATACTAATATGCCTCTTGGATAAACTGACTCTAACACTAGGATATTATTATTTATGTAGGTAATACCACCATCAGTTGAATGGTAATATATTCATGTTTTTTCTTTCTATTGCCCTTGAGACCAATAATATTTGTGAGCCTAAGGGTACTATGAGTGGTCACAACAGAACAAAGCTAACTAACTTCACTGCAATTGAATCTGACCTTGGCATCATTTTCAGTGAGTTCATTCAGCTACTCACTTCTGTGAGACATGCACTATTAATGATAAACACATCCATTTGGAAAATTTTGATAGCTACATCAGTGACAGACAACTACATCGATTTCTTTTTAAAAAGCCATGTAATCTTAAATAACCAGAAATCTTGCTAACATTTAAGTTACACACATTTCATTATTGCACTATCATCTCATACATATTTGAATGTCTGTTTTCCTCAGGAAGACCATGAACTCACTGAAGACATTAAAATTTGCAGGCATTTGACTGAAACAGAAACAGAATTGTAAAAACACACTAGCAAAAACAAGATTACATCTTTTAATATTTGAAAATTTTTACAGGATAATGACTTAAACCGACTCCATTTTAAATGAAACCATCAAATGCCCACCCAATACACATTAATAATAATTAGTTTTATACATCCATGAATATCTCCTATATACTTTAGCAGTTTGGTGGAGATAGGTATCATTTTCATTTTGGGGATGAGAAACCTGACAATCTGGAGAAGTAAAGGAGCGTATTCAGGGATTAATCAAAATTAAAACCTAGGGCTGTTGGACTGTAAGGCACAAGCTCTTTACATACATGTGAAATTTGTAAAGGAAAATTTTCTTTATCCTATGAATCAAATGGCTTGATTGCTAAGCAAAGCGAAATGACACAGTGTCATTTGGTATCTTATTTTTAAAGTCAAATGGTATCATAGACATTATAGTTAGGGCATTTCATAGCTATAATTCTTGTTCCAATTTCCAAATTCTTCTTATGCTGAGCTCTGAATAGTACCTACACTGAAATCTCATTATGATTTATTCAGTATTGAGATGAACAATGTCGGAGTTCGGCTTGACCCCTACTGTCTATCCAATGATATTTACTTTGATAAAAAAATTTTTTTTCTAAATCAGTCTATCTAAAAAACTCAGATGGATTGTCTTAGGTACCTTTCACTGGGGAATTCGACACTAGGTTGGTTAATTTCCCACACATCCCAAGTTCTTTTTCAGCCAATCACTCTTCCTCTTCATTCACACAGCAAACCCCAGTATCTAGCGAGCCTGTTTGGAGCCCAGCACTCAAAACAGTCCTTTACACACACAATGCCACCGCAGGCAGAACAATACCCCGGCTTGTCTTAACTCTGTGTTTGCAACCTTACCAAATGGAACGGGACAGAAGAACAACAGGGAAATCTCTACAACAGAAAGACGTCTCACTTATGTCCTAAACCATGTATAACTGAGGCTGTGTTGGGGACCACACACACACACACACACACACTCTGTGAAGGTTTTCATCAGAGACCGGTCTACTAATATGGAGAACGTGAAGACACAAGCAAAGCATCAACTCAATGACCAAGACCTTAGCAACGATTACAAGGACCGAAGTATTCAACAATTTACTTTCGTTCTAGCTCTTCTTTTAGATCCAAATGCGCACTCCAGTGAACTTTAAGTGGGGTCTGAACAGGGAAACCCAACTTTCTTCTTCAGGGATATATGTGGAGTCCCCGAGACTACGCGTTAATGTACTCGCCATACCTTCAGGGACCGAACACCGTGATTAAATTTTCCCTCCTCCTGATCTCTATAAAAACGACAAGGTGAGGGTGCGAAGGATGTCAAGATCAAAGGCTCGAGAAAGGTCTCGCCTCCCTCTCTTCTAGAGAAGATGCCCAAAGATGCCATTCTCCAGCCGGGCGCCCGGGAAGGGCTGGACCCGTTCAGGGTAGCGGACGTGGTCGCACGTGAGAAGAGCCGGAAAGGTAGGCGCGGACCCCAATCCCCAAGGCCAGGCAGCAACCACCCTTCCCCCACTCACCGCTCCGAGCGCAGTTTCATTGGGGCTGTCCGAGTAGCAGCCGCCATCACCATCGCCATCAGTCTGGGTGCTCGCGGAGGTGGAGAAGGGAGGCCCAGCCACTCCTGCACCTCATGTAGGTCTCCCCAGGCGGTGGCCTTTCTGCGAGCTCCCACCTCTCGGCGCCCGGTTCCCGTCTCTTACGTCGCGACCACCGCCTCCGTCTGCTTCCCAGACGCTACCCCCACTTCCGTGTCGGGCTCCCTCCCCTTTCTTCCTCACGCCCCCGGCAGCCGGCTTTTTCCTCGCAGCTGACGTCACCAGCCCGCGACCTGGGGCCGGGATTAG